CCCAGTCCCCAACACCAAGGATTAGTTTGATTGTTCGCTCTAAATGAACAACAGGTATGGACTAGTCTATGAACTGTTCTTTGTCTCTAAATGTTCTGCAACAAACTGTACTTTGCCTTGGCCCGAAGGCTGCTCGGAACCAATCACAGCAGCCAACCAGCAGCAGTTTGGTGATGTGTTTGTCTCTCAATGTGTGCTGGGAATAAAAGAATCAATGAGACTTTGTGATACTTGATTACTGATTTCACCACACTTAATACAATGGTCCAAAACACCTCTGCTCTTCAGGGGAGAAAAGGCCATAAATTATAATCACCTTTCCAAAAATCAAGGCTGAACTCAAACCACTGAAATCACTGAGGTTCCAGACGTGTTTATTGAGTGGAGCTGTAGATCTGCCAGGCTCTGTGGTGGTGGTGGAGACACTGGGAAGCCGACAAGGTAATGGTAGTGATAGATGATCTGTGCTGCTGATATGAACTGCTCTTCCTTGTCTCACTCAATTATTCACCCTGAATAAAAACAGTCTGTGCGCCTCTGCACTCCCAGAACAGGATGATGACTTCATCAGCAGCGCTCTGCCAGCCGGAGCTGCTTCTCGGAGATGCACTGTTATCCTCCATCATCAAGGCCCACGATTTAAAGGACAAAGAACACTAATGAATATCTGATGGAAGCCGAGCTCCTCTGCCAGAAACTGCTGTTTTGACTTCTTTGTTCCTCCCTTTCTTGTAACTAAGTAGATATATTCTGACCTTTGTCCAGATCTGTGTTCTTTCCTCTGCACGCTCTCACAGAGCAGAGCAGACAAACTACACAAAAAAAAACAACAACCCTCAAAACATAACGAGATGATTCAACATGAAACTCGACGACTGTTTTGTGTCATGCGCTGGACTCCGCTTGTTCGTCAACTCTTGACAACTCCCTGTCAAAACGCCATCATCATTTTCTCCTCGGCAAATCTGCACATGTTTAACGCATTAACTTATAACAATAAGAGATAAATGTTAAATTAAATTAACTCTCGTGTTTGTCAACAGCAAACAGAAAACAGATCAGTTGGGCCGGATCGCGGCACATCAACTCATTACGTACAGAGTCGGATATTTTGTTGCAACTGCACTGCATCTATTTTCTCAGCAGATAAGCGAAAAATGTGTGGATTGTTTTGCTAGCTGACAAGAAGAATGGCTGGATAGACTCTGGCTTGGGAGGAATGTTGACAGACCTTGGCACAATGCTTGAGAGCAGGTCGCTGACCTGATTGGGTTTGTTTAGGGTGAGTTTATTGTCGAACACGGAGGAAAGGTTTCTGGTCCGTTTGACAGCTATATTTCGGCTAATAAACCGCACGTAACCTTGGGTATTATAGCCAGGAGTGTGAAAGTACAGCGGGCCGCGGCCATAAATCTCCGAGGTTATCTAAAAGTTACGACAGCACTTACGAAAAGCCGGAGAAATCATTCATCCTGGAGTCTCTCAGCGCGGCGGAGTCATTTACACCTGAGCGTGTTCTCCTCACAGCAGCTCAGTGAGGCCACGCCGTCCATCATGGCGTGTAAAAGCCGTGCGATTGTGCAGCTTTTGATCCCCGAAGTGACAGCTAATACGGCGGCGTGTTGCAGAATGGATCCCATAAAAACTGGAGGACTGTTTCAAAAGGCACTTCTGCCTTTATTAGACTGTGACAGCAGACGCAGGAGACTGGGAAGAGTTTCCAGGGTGAAATTAAATGTAACACACCTCATGGCACTTCACTCACCGCGGCACTAATTTCTAAAAAAATATTCCGTCGCAACGTTACTGATCAGAATCCACGCCAGGCTACTGACAAAAGGCTGAAGAAACACGAGCATTTTCACACTTTGACTGCGTTTTGTTCCTTCCCTCTGTCTCTGCTGTTACCACTGTGAGGCCCTGAGGTGCTGGAGACAGCATCAGATTCCTACCGCTGATACACACTCCATCAAAGCGCTGCCACAACATCCTGATGTGCTGTGTCGGGCCTCTTTCCAGTCCCCTGCCAGGCAGATCTGATGTGCCTGCGAACACCTCAGTCTGACACCAAACGCCATTTCTGCCGTCTGTTCCGCGGTACGTTACGGCGTAGCCGCTAATGTCTGAGGGACATGGTCATACTTTGCCCCGGAGGGTGCAGAAAGATTCACTTTGTTCGAGCTTTGGTCCATTAACCACAGATTATCTGTACTTTACATTTGTGCCAAGTGCAGTGTTCCCAGAGTTGTGGGATGAATTCCCTGCCCTGCAGGCAGCCACCTGCCTCAGATCATTTCAGTCCATTCGAGAGTCAATGTTTACAACTCGAAACGAGCTGAAAAAGAGACATCTGTCATTTGTTTAATTCTAGTCTTTATCTAAAAACGCAGATGGAACCAGGTTCATCTGTTTATTTCCGTTCAGTTTTTGTATTTTGTGAACAGCAAAATATCTAACCTCAAAATACGCTTGTCTCTCTCCACATCAATGGAAAATGTCCCAACGTTAGTAACCTGATGTTAACCATGTAATCAAAATGTCCCAACGTTAGTAACCTGACGTTAACCATGTAACAGCACTGTGTGTTTTCCTGCAATTCTCTATATATCACGTGCCTGTAGTATCGCAGTATATTTTTAAGAAAAAAACCCTCTATACATCACGTGCCTGTAGTATCGCAGTATATCGCGATATATCGTATCGCTGCCCCTGTATCGTGATACGTATCGTATCGGATTCTTGCCAACACACACTCCTACTTCCACACACAGTCTGCAGTGGTCGCTCCGTCCTTAGATGCAGCTTCAGGTCATGGAAATTTCCCATTGATTATTTAAAAATAAATCCCTACTTGCTAGCTACAGAAATGCAGTTCTCCCAGTAGACTTCCAGTCATTACTTCTTTTTTTTTTTGATGCTATAATAATAATAATAACCCATATCATATTAAGTTGGCACTCAAGTAAAACAAAATACCTCCTGCCAACATTTGGAACTCTTTTACAGTACGGCGTGTAAATAAATCACAGCTATTTAATAGGTTGGCACAAAACTAATGCCATTATTTAAATGTTTTGTTTTCTTTTTCCAGCTGGTGACCACAATAAGTCAGTGTCCAGTTTCCAGAGACGCAGCCCTGTTATTATTACGGCTAAATCAAAAGCAAGAAAAAAAAAACAAAGTAATAAATTCAAATATGTTCTTTTGAAAAGGCAGTTCTATAAAATGCCTCAGCGGCTACAAGTCTGTTTCTGCCTTTTATTTAAGCTGTCAAGACGAATTTTACTGGATATTCACAATCTATTCCTAATGTAGTTGGATGTATTTTTCCAGGCAATCAAAAAAAAAAAGGAAATAACAGACAAGGTGTTTTTTTTTTGTTTTTTTTAGCCGAGAAGAAAATAGGCTCGGCGGGAAATAGTTGTGCTGCTCACCTCCACAGTGAGCCAGGCCATAAATGACGTAGCCTTTATGACAAAGGCACTGGAAACTGCCGGCAGAGTTGACACAGAAGTGGTCGCAGGCCCGATCAAAGGAGCACTCGTCGATATCTGCACAGATAAAAAGAAACGTCGTTACCTCACAAAAAAAAGAAAGAAGCAACCATCAAAGTTTTCAATTTTCAAACTGGACGATCAAGTGCTATCACAAGATGTTCTGGAGGATTGGGGCCGCAGTCATTGTAGTCATTGTTTGTCATGATTGGCAGTGGTTCAAGAGGCATCACAACAACAAAAAAAACACACTTGCGTCTGAGGTGAGGACGGTGATTGACTCCTGCCGTTATGCAGTTTTCCATTTTGCTGCTCTGAAATGACAATTCTCAAAGTATGTTTGAAATAACAAGCAGCTGCAGCTGGAGTCAAAACAGAGGCTGCTCTTCAGCTGATAATAGGAACTGAAAGATCAAACCCCTCCCCACCTCCCCCGTCTCCTCCTTCACACAGAAGCTTTTCCCCAGCAAAATTGACTGAGAATTTCAAACTTATTTTACAAGAAAAATAAAAATCTAACTTTTTCAAAGCGTTTATCCAGGGCAGTCAAACATACGGCCCGCTGGCCAAAACCGGCCCGCTACGGGGATCTATCCGGCCCCATTGATGAATTTTAAAAGTGAAAACAATGCACAAACTCTTCTTGTTGGTGATGTTTTTTAAAATTATATTTAATTAAATATGAATGTTTTCTAATATACTTCATTATTTGCAGGAAAACAAAGGGAGGGGCATGGATTTATTGTTATTTTTTAGGTAATTATGTTATGATTGTACTGGTCCGGCCACAGTCACACATGAAGTTGTTTAAACACCATTGGCACAGACTTCAAGTGGAGTGAAATACAAAGCTCCAGAAGAGTGATGACCTTTTATTTTGTTTTTTCTTTTTAGTATAAAGTTTCCTTTAATGTCAGCAGTAATCTGTGTCAAGCCTGGACAGAAACGGCCGCGACAGAGTAGGGATGTGCTACGACTAGCGAGCTGAATGGGTAATTGACGAATTTAAAATATAAAAAAAGCTTCCAAGGATTTTCCCAGGAATATTTTACATTTCATCCTTTCATCCGCTGCAGCTGAACCTCCTTCGGGTTCTGAGGCAGCGCCAGCCACTGTCAAACAGATGACACCGGCACTTTAACAGCAATTACTGCTCAGGTAAATGACAGGTTACCGTGACGTGAGCGAGAAGACGAGCTGGTAATCGTCTGTGCAAATCTTCAATACTTTGATAATAACGCAGATTAACATTTTCACGCCGTGCCTCGACCTCTGAAGGCAACAGTCGACCTCTGTGCAGATCAGTGACAGCTGCCGTTCAGGTGATGACCTGGCGGTCCACCAAGAAGATGAAAAGGCGTCGAGATGAAAGGCTAATTAGGTGAAAGGTTTACAAAAGAGCACACAAGCCTTTGAAAGAGCTCCTCAGGTCGATGTTTAAGAGTGTAAAAACCCCCACAGTGTTTACACATCATCAAAATAAATCACTTCTCACCTGCAAGAATATAAACCATTAATTACTTTTTACATCTTAACAAAATCTTTCAACTCCAGGGGTGTAAAAGTGAACGCAAATGAAAAAAATCACGCACATTATTCCAGGAAAGAAAAACGTCCTCTTCGTCGGCCGCAGGAGATTCAGAACGGCAGTGGAAGCAGTGAGCGACGCAGACTTTTAAAGACGAGGTTTTCATACGGAGTTTATCGAGTGTAACGTATTCTCTTCTTTCTTGATGGTAAAGAGTCTAAAACCCCGTGGGTATTAGGCGTGGTGACTGAGTTTTCCCCTTTAGAAAAATGTTGCAGCGAGCGACGCCAGGAGTCAATCTGAAACTTATCATTATATGATTTGGTGTTGTGCTGCACGGCAGAGGAGATGTGCAAAGACATCGTGGGCTACAACCCTTATTTACTGAGCTCCGGTGAAGAATGCAGTGGGTGGGACAGACAGTGATGTACACGCAGGGAGAAAATGAAAAAATTAGGTGAGAAGAGTCAAATTGTCACCTTGCACTGCCGTAAGACTGAAAACGAAAAATGATGGAGTTTCCATCTATTTCTCCTCCTCTTTGTCCTTCTGCTCATCATTTAATCTCCACTCTTGACTTAAAAAAAACAACTAAAAAATAAAATGAAATGAAATGAGGTCGGCAGAAATTCAGACGAGGTCACTGCAGTGCCTCAGTGTAGAAAACAAGAAGCCTGATGAACATCTTTCCTAAGTGCCCACATGTGGATTAGGAGTGACAAGGAGATGAGAAGGAGACTTTGGAGGGTGTTGAGGGTGGAGGAATGTGAGACGTGTCCCGTCCTGACTCCTGGGCCACGGTCCAATGACAGCAGAGAAACACCATGACTGTTTAAACCAAGATAAAGCCTGAGTGGAGTTTACACATCTCAGCACCTCGCAGTCACAGAAAACACCTATGTTGCTGATGTCACCCCGACACCAGCAACGCATCAGCACCGCCAGTTAACACGGTCCAGACCGGAGGTCATTCTTGCAATAAAGGCTTTTTTTAAGGACAGTTTTCTTCAGAAAATATATCATAAAATGTAAAGGAAGTTATAAACTTGTGGAGGAGGTCACGTCCTGCTTCTTTGTCTCGCTTAAGGATTGAAAACCTCTTCTTTAAAATTTTCTTCCTGTTTTGTGAAAAGAAAAAAAATGATAATTGTAAAAGCTAGTTTAAATTTTTGCTTTGATTTTGCTTTTGTTCATTTTTGAGGGTTAAAAACCTGGTAAAATAAAGATGACATAGTTAAAAAATGTAATAAAAAGTCAATTTTAGTTGTAGGTGACAGACTTGTTAGCTCGCAACAAAAGTGTCACATCAACTCAGGGGTGGGTGGATGCCAGCACACTTCAAGCTCTGTGCCAAGGTTGTCCCTGTGGCTCCCCCAGGACAGGTGCTGGGACCAGGACTGGACCAGACCTGGAACTTATCCCACCGGTGAGAAAAAAAAAAATGACAGGAATGAGAAGCGAGGACAAGACGCAGGCAGGTGAGTGTGGTGTGTGTGTGTGTGTGTTTGAGAGCCTGGCAACACTTCACTCAACAAAAGGTGGGCTTTATCACAGCCCTCCGCTCCAGACAAAACACACATCACCAAACAAGGACAACACTGTTCGAATGTTGCCCCCATGCACCCAAACAGCACATGGCTCAGTTAGTGAAGGCACGGTGCCACAAAAAACAAGCTGTCATCTGCATTCCTACATGCACGGGCCACATTTTCTCAGTTATCTGTTATTGCGGAAAAGTAAACATTGAATTGTTTGGCACCAAATAATGAGACAAAGGAGCCCCACCAAAAATAGCTACAAAGTGACAGCAAGAGTGGTTTCAAGGCACAGTGACATAGTGAGCATTCCTGTTGACCGCACTGTGATGTTTGTGTACTGTATGCAGACTGGCGGGATTCTGCGCAGCGACTCCGAGTCTTTGGCGTGACAGTGATGGTTAACAAGCTGGATATTGATTGACCACATCTATAAAGATGTGAAGAAGAAAAACGGCATGTCATGTGTTTTTCCACGCAGAGGGAGACGGAGCCGGGCTCTCAGTTCTCGTCTGCTGATCTTCTTTCACCAGATGTCTCTGTAGTGGATTGACTCTTTCAAGAGGCAGAAGGTTCTAAAGCCGGAGCTTTAATTCCTCACACCTGTGTTCAACCATGGCAAAGTCTTTATTTGTTCTGCTGCGAGTCCTCCCAGCTCCTGCTGAGTGATGGCTGCCACCAAATGTATCAGAAAAACAAGCCACAGAGAAACGTCTCAGTCTGGAAGGAAGACCAAGTGTTCTCAACATGGAAGACAACCTTTGGGCTTTATATAAAAGTAGAAACAATATTCACAACATACAGACAAACCTCCAGTTAAACCTGAGCTGGGATGAATCAGTAACAGGCCGAGGCACTACAGCGACGGGATTATTGAGTTGAAGTTGGTTTGTTGCTGCTGCTGAAGAATTTTAGACTTTGTACTTATTTTAGGAATTCTTCAAAAGCAACACAGTTTTATCCCGTTGGTATCATTTGCTGAAAACAAGATCAAGTGCTTAAGTTAAAGAATGTTTTCTGTTCTAATGGAGCGTGTGCTCCCTCATAAAACCAACAGGAAAACTGTTTCGTTTTTTTTACTTTTGCTTCTACAAACATTCCAGATCCTGATTGTTTCACGGTCATCACTGATCTGTTGGTTCAGTCGATTGATCTTTTCTACCACAGCACAAACGTACAGGCTCTCAAAAAAACTACACGACTGCTGACTGTTCAGCTGAGGGTGAAAATGGTTGACAGTTAAATTAAAAAAAGAGAAGTAACTTAAACACTGCTAGATGTCTGGGATCATTCAGACGAAGAAATGGCATGGGGGAGGGGGAGGGAGAGGGAGGAGGACGGGGGGAGTGACTGCCGTGATAGGGTATTTGTTCAGCCGGAAGAGTTGATCTGAGATCAGTTTAGAAAGTGAATTTTTTTTTTTTTTGTCAACCTTGAAACAAACGTTTACAAGTACAGAACCTTAAGGCTAGCCAGAGCCGGCCGACTTTGCAACGGTGCCTGGTGCAACTCCTGCTCGAGAGAAATTAGAACAATACTGTACAAAACTAAATGTGTAAATACCTCCTTACGGTAAGTACCTTTTTTTTTTTTTTTTTTTATTTTTGGGGGAAAAACCCGGGGGGGGGCTTTCCCCCGACGGGTTCTGGTCAGAAGCTTGTAGCCCTTCTTGCAGCTGCACTCGAAACTGCCCACCGTGTTACGGCACACGTGATCACACCCTCCGTTGTTCAGACGGCACTCGTCGATGTCTGTGGACGGAATCATCAAAATATATAGGTCAGGGGTCGTCAAAGGTTTTGAAACTGAGAGCTAGGGTTCAAGGGTACTCAGTAATACGAAGAGGGGGGTTCGAGGGTACTCAGTAATACGAAGAGCTATAAAACAGGCACATTGGGGCTACCCCTGGACCTACCTACATTTTTTTTGCCTTAACTTTTTAATCAGTTAAACTGCATCATTTACAATGCTTTTCCTAATATACAAGGATTAATGTTAAAAATTCATTAAGTGGGTATCATGTACTTTACAGTAGGTTCTGTTTTTGCTCTCCACTAACTCCCCAAGGAGTTGTTTTTTTGGCTCATTAGCAGCTAAATGTTCTGATATATTCACCAGAACAACCCTAGCTACGGATCAGTTTTTGCAACATTTTAATTCTGCTAAAACATGGCTACAGTACATCCAGCAGCTGAAAGAAAAACAAAAACAAAAACAACAAAGAAGCAGGCAGACACGCTGCAGAACCGGGAGAAAGTCCAGAATCACCACGGACGTACTTGAACCGTCTCTGCGAGCGACTACAGTAGCTTTAATAGCACGTGATAAACAGCGGTTGAGGCTGAACTCTGTGGTAGAAGCACGAGGGAGGACTAATTATGTGTTGTGTCTGTTTTTCGTGAACGTCCTGCCGGCAGCAGAAATAAACATCAGGTATTTTCTTAATGTCCTTCACAATGGCTCAGATCTGTCTGAGTCTGGCTGTAACGAGCTGCAGCTCTCACGCAGTAAAGACCTTTTAAATCATCAGCCTGATTACGCAGTTTCACTGCCGCTGCCAGTGCGCAGTCGATATATCATCTGTGGATGTTTGCGTTTGATGATGCTCTGCCTTGGTAGGTTTGGCAGTGGATCTAATTAGGTCTAAATTATCATCACAAATGAGGCATTTGTCTCCTGAGGGAGTCTTCACCATCTGAGTAAAATAAATGCAAGTCAAATGGAATAAAATCATTTCTTCCATCTTCCATCCCTGTTCTTCAGAAGTGTCTGGCCCGGAGCGAGCTCCCGCCGTCCTGTGCCAGTGCGGCCTGGATTTGTTTTATTGTCCTCTTTTTCTCCTCTCAAACCAAACTCCTCGGATGTTAGTGTAACTTTGTGACCCACATGAAGCGCAGAGATTTCAGAGATCGCCCTCGCTCCCTCCGAAGCTGTCAGCATCGTTTGTTTTTTTGTCCTAACAAAATCCTCAGTAAGATTTGGTTCTTATTAGACAAAAATAAACAAAACGTTTGGCTTCACGCAGGTTGAGTTCAGAATAATCCTCCCACAAAGAGGAGGCAGAAAAAACAAACCTCTTATTCTTCTTACAAACAGGAGAAACTCGTGTCATGGGATTGGTCGTACACCTACGTGTACACTGACTGTAAATATGTAAAACAGGGGTGGGCCAACATCTTGGCTCGTGGGCTAAAATAAGGATCAAAATTTGACTGGCGAGCTAGTATTGCTTGAAAGTAGAATGCAGAAGTAAAATGTACAACAATAAACCTACATTTTCAAAGATGATTTGACACATTTCATGTCTGTCGTTGGCATCAACTGAAACTACAGTTTTGTTGTAATGTATGAAACAGAAGGATTGACATCGGTTTTTTACCAGTGTTTGATGGGCCGGGTTAGAAAACCCAGCAGGCCGTATTTGGCCCAAGGGCCACAGTTTGCCCAGGTCTGAGATACATAGTCAGTGTATTCAGTGAGAAATGGAAATGTCCATGATTTAACTTTAATGTTTAATTTGATCCGTTTGCAATTATTTTTGTTTTCTCTTCACTTCACTGCTTTGTTTCTTTGATTGCTTCACGATGCGTTCAGGGCACGTCAGAAAAATATTAATTAACGGCGTAAAAGTAATTTGCAATAACTCACTAAGATAGCCTAAATTGTCAGCCCTATTTCTAACATTATTAAGCATTCGTCTGGCAAACACATTGTCGCAAAAATGTCATGTAAAATAAAATACACTTTTTTTTCCTCTTTTAGAAAATCTTTAGAAAAGAATACCTAATTTTTCTAAACTCTTAGATCATTTCTATTTCTATTCACTTCCATTTCTACTGGCTTCCAGCACCTTTCCATCTGTCTCTCTAACACGGCCTCCATTTGTACCAACCTACTGTTTCTGGGTCCCTTACTTTTATACAGTCTCTGGTATAGAGACAGAAACAGAAACACAATTGAAAACCTCTATATCGAGACGATCCTCCGGGAGGTTGAAAAAAATGAAGAAAAAAAAAAAAGTTCAGGAGAAAAAAAAAATCTACAAAGTTCTGTCAGAGCCATCCGTGAATCCATCGGTCGACAGGTGAACATGTGGAGGGCAATCGTGGCCCGGAGTGTCGGCTGATGTGTCTTACCTTTACAGGTCTTGCGGTCCGGCTGCAGGGTGAAGCCAACAGGACAGCTGCAGCGGACGCCCGTCACCGAGTCATGGCAGGTGCTATCGCAGCCGCCATTGTTCACCGCACAGGTCTCTGCAGGGAGAAAAGGAACTCGCTTTGAGACAAATCCCCCAGAATAATACCCAGTACACGCTGTCTTGACCCACTTTTTTTTTTTTTTTCCCCAACGGAACAGCAAAACAGTACATGCAAAACTGGCGGAGTAGTAAAAAGTTTGAAGACACAGGGTTATATGCAGCATTCCTTTTTTTGTGTCACACTGGTGACAAAAATAAGAAGCACCGCAGGCTTTGAGGTGTTTAGTGGTGAGAGGAAATGAGGAACAGAGACGTTAATGCTGCAGCTGAAGGAGATTAGCAGTGAGGGAGCTGGAGAGATGTTTGTGAATAAACAGAGACAACAGTCATTAGGAAACATTACGGCACAGGCCAAAAATTGTTTTGTGTTCGAGTACGTCTGTGCGTGTGTGTGTGTTTGTGTGTGTGCTTAGAGGCCTCACTTTCGTCAAGGTGAGTTACCCCGTCCAAAACTTGTAGACCTCTACAAGGACGTTACAACCTTCTTGGTCCAGCAGAGACATCTGTCTCCTCTCAAACACCAGGCCACGGATTTGATTTCAGACAAAATCACTGCCTTTTTTTTTTCTCCTTTTACTTTTGTGACAAAACCTTCCAGGCATTTTGGGGATAAAAAAGCAATTTCAGGTACTTGTGCCTGTGTGTTGGCGAGACCGAGGTGAAAAAAAAAAGAGAAAAAAAAAAGCGATGCACCCAGTCATGACAGGAAAGCTGCAGTCTCTTCTGTAGACGGTGAAGAATTTCAGACTCTCATTTCAAACGGCCGTTCAGGAGGAATTTGTTCTCACGTAAGAGAAGCCGGTTCCTGCCGTAATGGTTCCTCCAGCTCTGTAGAACGTGTCACAAACATCGGGGCAGAAAAAAAAAAACTCAGTGAAAGTAGCTGTGAGGTAACTGGTCTTCTAATTCGCTGGATGCTGGCTGGCAGTTTTTCTAAAAAGGAGCCAGTAGAGCCGGGCTAGGCCAACAAGATTGTCTCTCTCAGTGAAGAACTAAAGAGGGAACGCAGCTGCACTTCTTCTTCTTCTTCTTTTTTTATTTTCCTTCTTTTTCTTTGTAGAAGAGTCAGGGTCCCTTTGGGAAACACATAATCTCTTTACTTAAATTTAAAACTGCAGCGCCTGCAGCAGACATAATGAAACCTTTTCAACCTCTTTCTCTGCCTCTCAAAAAAGAAAAAAAGAAAATGAACTGTAGAATTAAATTTTGTATCAAAGCAGAACAGGTGCTTACAGCAATACATGGTGAGTAATTGGGTTTATGTGGGATATTTGGGGTGAGGGGGGAGAGGGGAGGTGGGAGGGTAATGGAGGGCAGCTACAAAAAGGTGATTGATGCCATTCCCTCTGCCTGATGTCTGTTCTGGCTTGTACATGTGCAAGTCAAAAAGTTCTAGGACAAAAAAACCCAAAAAACTTATATATGAAAATACTAATGCCAAATCAGCCAATCAGAACACTCCAGGTCTCTCTCTGCTGTGTGAGTGATACTGTCAGATGCACACTCTCTCTGCCTCACATGACATTTCTCTCAATCTGCATCAGGGAGCTGCTGTTGATATGCTTGAGATTTTGGAAACTTCTAGAAGACCTCAACACCTCTCGAGTTCCACCAGCTCGGCGCCCAGGCCGGAGGAACAGGACGCCGACTTTTCTAAAAAAAAAAAAAAACTTCTTCCACAAACAAGCTCCCGCCACAGTCCACCAATCAGCGTTTCATGTTATTTTACTATTAACAAGTGAGCTTTGAACTGCCCCAGGGCAGACGGCAACAAAGTATCGCAAGATACATAGTAACTGTTGTCTGATAAAAGCCTAATTCACGCTGTGAAAGACTGAGGACCTTTGTTTGTTGTCGTACTCATCCCTCCCCCGGTCTCTCTCCCCTTCTGTCTCTCCTCCTTTCCTCCCTGACATTAAACCCTTATTACATTTATAGAGTATTTGCTAAAAACGTCATTTTGTTTCCATGAACATCATTCGTCTCGCTGCGGCCATTACGGATCAACGTGGAGGAGTGAAGGGCACTGGGAGGAACGGCTTCCAGTTAATACTCCGGTCCCAGCCCAGAGCGGGGAGTACTGCAGTGTGGGTTCAGATAATTGCAAAGTGTGAGCAGAGACAGTTGGCAGACGAGACAAAAAGACAGTGTCGGGACATGCCTCCGAAACGCTTACTCAGACAGCCATCTCACCAAAGTGTAATGATCATGTATTAAGAGAGCAACAGAAATATTTCTGACATTATGGTTTTGTGAAGACGGGGGAGAGACACATGCTCTGGTATGTGTGTGGGTTTGTGTGTTTTGGACACACACCAGCCACATCCACAGTGCACCAGGTTAGGATGTGCAATTACAGTAAGAGTGGGCAGACTTTTGTAAATATTCTACAGCGCGAGGTGCAGGCTGTTTGGTCTGAGGCTGAGGCTGAGTCGTGTAGGGTTAC